CACACACACACACACACACACACACACACACACACACACTCTGTCTCTCTCACAGTACAAAAAAGGTTGAACAATTACAGTAGTTCATGAATCAATTCTTGCCACTCTTCTATTTGCACGTGTTTATATTAGATGACATTGCACCTATTTATTACATGTTGCATACATTGGTCAGTGGTATTTTTTTAGAATCTGTTCCCTTTTTGATATTCATGACCACTTAATAAGTTGTGGTATCTGTGTATTTCAGGGTCCTAAAGGTGAAAAGGGAGATCGTGGTCTACGGGGCCCCCCTGGGGTTGTGACCACTGTAGATGGGGAGACTCTGACAGGTGGGGTGCCAGGACCAGAGGGTCCACCAGGAGAAAGGGTAAGCTTGCAGACAATAGCTGAGAATGGCTTCACACTGTAGCACTTATGGAATATTTTGTGGATTTTGATGAGTTAATGCATACTGCTTATTTGATAAAAAAATATTTCACCGTGTGTTTTAAACAAACTTCATCTTGAAGGTACACTGTATGCATTTGAAAATTTCCCAAAATCATAGTTTCTGTGTCAATACTTATCCTGCAAATGTACTAATATTTACCAGTTCAGACTTTAAAAAACTCGAGTAAAAGTACCTTGCATCAATAGTTCTATCTGAAAGTTGCATGACACTCTGAATGACAGGCTATTTAGAAACAAATCACTAAATTAAAAGAGAATACGTAGAACATCTAATACAACTGCAAGTATGGGTTGAGCAATGATTCACAAGTAGGGAATTTTTTTTTTACCAAGGAAAATTCATTTAAACAGGTAAATCCAGTATAGAGTTCCCTTAATGATGTACCATAAATGCCATGAATTATTTTTTGTTTAGGGCCCACCTGGTCCACCAGGGGAAAGAGTCATTGGACCACCAGGTTTACCTGGACCCCCTGGAGTTGGAATAGTTGGCCCCCCAGGACCACCAGGAGTGGGGTTGCCTGGACCCCCTGGCCCACCTGGAGACCCTGGAAATGGTATTCTTCTTGGAGAAGCAGGCAAACCTCAGGAAGCCACCACAGGGGTAAGTTTCAGCCAGATTGTGCCTGTAACTGGGCCCTTTAATCCTCAACCAATGAAAGGGCGGAGGGTGTTATAATAATGGGGCATTCACTTTTTTCCCCCCTAACTCCTGAAAAAATTTGAGAGCAAAAAGTGTGAAACACACCTCATATAGGATGAATTTGGGGTGAGTGAAATTGAGTGAAAATAAAATTAATTTGTTTCAAAGTGGCATGATTGATCTCTAACAGAAAACACCAATTAAAATGGTTTTGACTTGCACACACTTTCACTAACTACATCAATGAGGGATGTGAATGGAGGTTACAAATTATCTGAAATAGTGGGAAATGGGTTAACAATAGTTGCTAATTTCTTTGATTAAAATTTTATTTAATTCTGATTAGTAGTGACAGCTTTATGTTTATTATTTGTATATGTCTTTAGTATTCATAATAAGAAGATACATCTAACACATTAATTTGTAGTTTTCTTTGCCTAATGCAGTAGTTTTTTTTTTTTTTAATTATTATATTCACTTAATTATATGTAATCAACTGTACGTTAGCATGGATGAAATGTTAGTAATCAATATTAAAATTTTGCTTTTCTTCAGCTGTACCCTTTGAAGGTAATTTATTATTATTAATAACAGTAGGTCTGGAAATTTAAAAAATGCCTTTACTTTAAATTTTGCCTGACTTTCCTGCCTATATTGTCACCTGTCATGAAAAGCTTTGAAATAATTGTACATTTATTATTATTATTATTATTATTATTATTATTATTATTATTGGAATATATTTATTGCACTACAAGATATTTACAGCTGACATAAAGAATGTGTATTCAAGTCTAACATCACTGCTGTCTGAATTTTCCAATTTAATCCTTGAATCTCAGAAATATCACTTCACAGCACTAAACAAAGTTTTGTATATATATATATATGTGGATACTTAAGATGCAAAAATTATTGAAATTCTTCACACGCATAGGAGAGATCAAAGCTTGACATGATTTATTTTCTCAAATTTATGCTTTTTTTCAAATCTTGAAGTTTGCTCTTTAGAAAATTTTCCTGTTACCTGGAGTCTCTGTAGACTATTTTCACATAAAATCCATGTCAGAGAGGCAGCTGATTGCTTGTTGCCAAGGTGAAGGGTATAGCATGATTCAGATTTCTTCTAGACTTTCCATCTCATGACTACAACCATGTGTATGTATCTTGTTTGTCCTACCTATGTATTGTGTTGTCTTTCTTGTTTCTGAGTGATGTCATGTTACCTGTTTTAACTTACTAAGTTGTTCTGTCAGTTTGTCTAAATATGTTTTTAAAATATATATTTTGTGCTTTTTTATTCACGAAACTTATAATACAAAAAATAGGAAAGAGACATTTTAGAATTCTGAAGAATACAGATAGGAGAAAGCTTTCTTAATTTTTTTTTACATTGTTCTGTTTGCTTCTACCCAGGGGATGCTATTTCCATCTTCCATTCTATTCTTTGGGGGAAAAAACCTAGCGTCATGATTAAATTGTTACAGCATGTATGAACTTTTGCTTGATTCCATCTCTTAATTTACCTTTTTTTATGGGAATTATGTGGAAGTTTGATGTCCACATAGTTGAAAAGAATCACAGCTATTTGCATGGTCACAGAATGGCATGCTTCAAATGGCTTTGATTACAGTAAGATTGTTTCTCCAACTTTAATTGAAAATCCATATTTTCTTATTCTAAATGAAGAGATCCACAGACCCTTGTTGTAAGACCAAGAAGCCATTTTTCCTGCTTTTTCTCACAACCCAAATCATGTCTGAGATTTTTAAAAAGTGGTACTGTAACAGCATAATTTTGGTGTTAATTAGTCAACATGGCATTAATGCAAGTTAACTCTTTAAGACAAACAGACTTTCAATATTTTGATACATTCAGAATGGGCAGAAGCAAAAATATAAAAATGAAATAAAATAGAAGTAAAGAAAATAATGCGTAGCTATACATGCTTAATTCTTAAATTTCTAATTTTTTAATGTGAAATTTATGGCTGTGTGTGCTTTTTATGTGTATTTATTGCACATCACTGCCCACTGGCTGTACTATGATATGTGTTGTCTGTCTCTGGTGGAAGTCAAATATAATGCTACTGTAAGGCTTTTTTCAATGCTGATGGTATTTTTGAAACAGTAATCATAATTTGGGGCGTTAAATCAGATATCACAGCTGACAGAAGTATCCCTGAAGCAGGTTCAGTAGAAACCTCTTAAAGTTCTTATTAACACATCTTTAACATATTTTTGGCAATATTCAGACATTAGTTGTTCTGTATGTATGCTATTAGAAGTAAAGTTTTCCTATTCTCCCATAATACTGAAGAATTTTCATGTTCTCTACAAGTCTACCTGCATTTTTTGGGGGTAGGGGGGGCTGACTGTTTAATGTTCTTGATGTTTTAGTTGTCACCTTTTTATAGTGGTGTAGTTTGATTAAAGGAAAAAAGATTTAGAACGATGTAAATTGATGTTTTTCTAGAAAGTTTTGCTTTGACCTAATTCTCTAATTTTCCCTGTACTAATATTTCTAGGCAGTGACTGTGGAGGACAAGTCTGAGCTGCACCAGCTCTCTAATGGTGTCCCAGTGGGCTCCCTGGTCTATGTGATGGTGGAAGAGAAACTCTACCTCAGAGTGGGGCAGGGATGGCAGGCTGTCAATGTAAGCCAAACACTTATGTCATTTCAGGTTAATAACTTGATGAAAAAGTTAACGAATATTAGAAAAAAACTAGATTTGATATCCAGAAATGCCCAATATAATTAAAAATTAACTTTAAACTATTCCGTGGTATTTCCTCTGGTATCTAAAATTTCATTGTGCTAGAGGTAATGTTATGAAGTTGTATTAAGTGAAAATTTGTTTACTTGAATTATATCTAAAAAAAGTTTTAGTCTGATGCTCAACTGTTCAGAAGTTCACATATTTTGGTTCAGACACTGCTAAAAAATACAATTCAAGCACTTTGTAATCATTGTAAAATAATGATGTTACGATATATTTTTAACATGGCTAATTTTTATATACAAGAAAAAATCTCCTTATGAGGCGAAATTTGCAGGTTTGCTATTCATTTAGCAACAGTGAAAATGTAATATTACCCTAATTCTTTACAGCTTGGTTATTTAGAGGAAATTCCAGAACCAACACCACCTGTGAGTAGTATTTTCATTCAAGTCATGACTAAATTGAATGATCATCTCATGATGTAAAATACTAATTTATATGTGAAAAAAACAAATAATGAAATAAGGGAAAATGCTTATAATAGGAATAAGACCGAATAATTGAATTTTGTTACACTCTTTTTGTCACTGTAGTTACAAGAAAGTAGATATATTGATGAACTATTATAATGTACCACAGTAATTAATGGCATTACCTTGTGTTTCTTCAGCCCACCACCACCTCAGCTCCCTTGATCCCTCCTCCCACAGGGACAGAGGTTGTACTAGGACCAAGGGTAAGGGGCACTTGCTTTGTCAGACATTGAACAGTGAAATGATGATGATACAGAATTTTGAAAGAATTACTGATAGGGCATGTGAAGAACATGAAATTTGTTTAATATTTGTACTTACTGGACCTGGAACAGAGTTCAATGCAACAGCAAAAAAAAAAATGTTGTTGTTTTATTATATGTTTCATGAATTTGAAATTATCCATACCATTTCCTTTGCACTGAAAATGAATTTGAGTAAATTCTGATGATTGTCCTTCCTTTCAGCTCCATCTGATAGCGGCCAACAAGCCCCTGTCTGGCGCCATGCATGGCATCAGTGGAGCAGACTATCAGTGTTATCGCCAGGCTAAGGACGCTGGCATGGAGGGTACCTTCAGGGCCTTCCTCTCCTCCAGGGTGCAGAATTTAGACAGTGTGGTGTTTGTCAAGGACAGATCTGTGCCAATTGTCAACTCAAAGGTAAGCAGTTGGCTGGTTCATGACAAAGTTTATTGTGGCTGTAGTCCTATTTACAGGAAATATCACAAGAGATTGATAGGTCTCATTTACAATATTTTATTTAAATCAGCCTTCTTAATGTAACTGTTAATGAACCCATTTATAATACTTTACACTGTTTCTTTACTCCCCTTCTCTCTCTTTCAATCACTTAGTCTATTTTTAGTCAATTTCAATATATAATCAAACAATAGGTAAAAAATACTTGTATATTACTTAGTTTTGGTACAGTGCATCAATGCTTTCCATTTTAGGACCAGCTTCTGTTTAAATCATGGGATGATATATTCAAAGGGGTATCATTCAATAATAGAATACCCATATTGTCATTTGATGGGAAGGATGTCATGTATGATCCAAAGTGGTAAGTCTTCTGTTTCATTATTCATTCACATTACCAATTGCAAATCAGTTAGGTTCTGTTTTAATTATGTAGATGTATATACCAAAAGATGCTTTCTTAAAATTGTTATGTCAGCAAGTTCCGCAAGTATTGTGAAAATAGTTCAGGGTGTTTTAAATAATAATAATAATAATAATAATAATAATAATAATAATAAAAGAAAACTAGATAGAGTTTCTGCTATCCATTTCCCAGGCCCCAAAAGTACATTTGGCATGGTGCTGACTCCACGGGGCAGCGTATGATGGATGCTTACTGTGATGCTTGGGACACATCTAAGACAGAAATGACAGGCATGGCCAGCTCTCTTAGATCAAACCATTTACTAGACCAGGAAAAATATGCCTGCAGCAACTCCTTTGTTGTGTTATGCGTGGAAATCACACACCGGAGGAATGTGAGGAAGTAGGAGTTAGTAGCCATTTTGGTGCGAGATTCTTGGGACAGCACCACGTCGAAGCTGTCATAGTTCTGGTGAATAGTGTATACAATAATTAACAAACTCATCTGGATACAAAAGCTCAAAGTGAACTTAACCAGTATATACAGGAAGGTGTTTGATACACTGTTGAAATGCATTTATTAATAATATATAATTGTTATATCTTTGCCTTTACCAAAATGTTTTTATATAGGTTTTGATAATTTCATATGATATAAGGCCTGTCTGACTTAATGAGAGCAACTTTATGGAAAATAATTATCTTGCTTTATGCAAATTAGAAAATGTGGTGGTTTGAATATTTAGTATTCAGCAGATGAGATGTGGTGCAAAATCTGGATATGGAACTTAGAAAACATGTTATTTAATACTCAGTGAAAAGCATGCTTCAGCATCTTCCAAAGATTGTTATTACTCATTTCTATGACAACATTAACAGTGACAGTAAAATCAGCCAGATTTTGGCTTGGTGACAAGTGAAACAAAGATGAAATTGTATGAGGTTTGGGGGCAAGTGAAACAAAGATGGAATTGTATGATTAAGTCCAAAACACTGTAATGCAGCTTTAATTATGTTGCCTTTGTATTAGTTTAACTGATATTACAATGATATTCATAGGTGATTAAATTAATCTGCTCTTTTTGCATATAAAACCCTAGCTTTCTTGCCTGTGTCACTAGTGTCATTATTACTGAAGATGAAAGCAATGATTAAATATATCTAAATCCTGTATATTGTCTTCTATAAATGGCAGAGCATTTTAAACAATGCAATTTATTGTATACCAATATTTATAATGTGCACAAGCTTTTTAGAGATTTATACTTCATAGTATAGGGTTAGCCTTTGTAATGATTTGAATGTTTTACTTTGCTTTTTGCATATAGCAGCTGAACATTAACTTGTATATTTGCAGTTTATTTTGCCCATGCTTAAATTGTGTAAATATTTATATATAAATATATATATATATATATTAGAAATGATAGTTTTTAAGTCTACTTACATTTGAAAGATTAGCTTATACTTATATGTATAATTGTACAGTGGTATTATTTATTCTCTCTAGGCTATTGACTTATGAAGCAGTTCTGTTTCCCTTGGAAATTGTATCCCTGGCTATTACATAGAGATTAAAGTCTTCCCAATTTATCTGGATATTTAGGGGTAGTATTTTTGCCCTCTAGACCCCCCCCCCCTTCCCATATAGAGCTGTGTGCCTTTGGTGCTTCCATTTTCCGAATTTATTAAGGTCCAGTTTCAACTTATATATGAATACAGTATAGATTCTCATTCTTTGAACAAAACAGTTATAATAAGTGACAATGTATCTTCTACCTCTAATTACTTCAGTTGCCTCTTGCTGTGTAAATGTTTGGCATTTTGTCAGTTATTGCATTGTATGCTGCAACAATTGTGCTGTGGATAGCAGGGATTTTTAAAGCTAAGAAAATGACTTGGTGCTAGATTTGATTTCATACCTCCTCATTACAAACTGCTTGTTTTCCTCAAGTTATGGCATATGTAGGTATTCTCTTCATGATACTAGAATGTTACATTTTGGTTGAATCTTGAAATAATCGATGAAAAAAAATCACATTATTATTAATGGGCCATTGCACAAAAAGTGAACATTAGAGTTGTGTCAGTGAAGCACACATTTTGTTAAATGATTAAGTGATTTTGACTTGACCATAAATTTCCCTGTTTTATGGTGTAGTGCACTCCAATATTGCCAGAAATCAACAGTAATTAAAAAAAAAGAGAAATCAGTTGTGCAAATATTACACAAAATGTGTGCAGTACTGACATGGCACTTTCTTGTGGAATGAACTTAATCAAATGATGTCTTGAGTTTTGGTTAAAAAATTCAGCTACTCTTACATTTTTTGAAGCATTAATGTATGAATGATGTCTCAACTTGAGAGATTTCCCACAATAATGTATGTGTTCATGTAAATACTTTGCCTAATGCAGTGCCTGACAGTTTTTTAAGTTGGGACTACTGGTCAGGTTACATTGAAGTTATATTGAGGTTATTGTGTTTAGCCAACTGTCTTTCTGCAGAGAAAACCTGCTGCAACACTGACCATGTACAGGTATTGTATTCATGTTGTATTTGTTGCAAAACATAATCAAATTATGATAGCATTTCATATCTGCATGTTATGTAATTTTTCTGCAAGCTTAGAGCAAGTGAAATCCGTAGCTTTATTTTGCATTGAATGTAGGAGCATTATAGAATACAGATACACTGATCAAATTAATATCTCTTTTCACTTGCTTCGACAATCTAAATTCAAACACCGAAGTCTTGAGCTTTGTCTGAAAGACGACATTGATACTTTGCATCACATTATTCTCTTAGTTCATTATTATTTTTCTTGGCAAACGCTTTTTAATTCTATGGAAATGGTGTGCATTATAAATATAGAAGAGATCGTTTACAGTTATAGCACTGCTGCAGTCTTTAAAATCATGTATAATAATTCATGTCAGATTTTGCCAATAAAACTTTTTACAGTTTTTAATCCAAGTTTATTAAGATCTTGCAAACCATGGTGCTTCTTACTTCATTTCTATCTGCTCCTCTTTATGATTTGTTTATTTGATGATGAATGGATAATAATAATAATAACTCACGTTGGTGTGATCTAGTGTCCAACCTTTCAATGTTTTATCATGAAGAAATCATTCGTAGTACATCTAACTCCCACGTACCCCCCCCCCCCCCCCGCGAACTTATAACCTGATTTTAGTGTGCATCAACTTTATATAATACATATCACTAGGAGTGCTTACATGAACTTTCATGCTGATTTACATGGCAATTTGAAAATTAACATAATATCTTTGTTCCGCCATTTTGGTCAAGCATCCCCACGTCATTGACGTCGACGTCAATCACTGTGACGTAAAGTAACGGTTGTCTCCAACGTCAGCAGCAACCAACCACAACAACGGCCCCGTGGGACATTTCTCATCAAAAACAGCAACTTACGCTTTGATATTTGTATCCCAGAGAGGTACGTCGCCATTTTAATATACATATTTGCCGTTCACGACTGTTCGATTTTCCGTTTTTTTTTCGTATTGAAACATGAAGGCCGTCATTCTTCGGTCTGTGAATCTTGGAATACAAATATCCCGCTAAAGAGTTTTTTCTCGTCAGTAGTGTATATAGATACACGCTGCACCAAATAAGGTATATTGAGCCAGTAATGATTGAGAAATTCCATAATTAATTTATGTATGAGTCCTGCCAACAGGGCTTTGAGTATGATACAAATATTTTAGATGAAACTTATTGAATACTTAACTGTTGGCGTAGTTTGAAATTCGGTTGATTCGAAGAACGTATAAGATGGGACCTCTTCTTTATTCAACTCTACTATAAACTTACTGTGCTATTTGTACAGTCAGATCTGTTTAGGACAAGAAAATGACTTTCTGCTGCAGTCGATTATTTTCCCTCTTACTTCAAAATACTAGTATTTGTTTTCCTCAAATAATGACAGATGTACTGGAGAGTCTTGCTGAAATTTGGTTACATTATTTTTTTTATTTCAGAGTGAAACTTTTTGTGCAATACAATATTAGAATAAACAGTTAGCTTGGTAGTAACTACGCATTTGATTTTTCTTACTGATAAAGAGGTCGGGATGGGGAGGGCTAAGGTAGAGGATGAGGACACTTCACAACAGTTTCAGTGGCGCTTCTATATGATAAACAGCATTCATTATTAAAATCTATGTGCGTTGTATTAACATGCAAATCGAAATGAGTTCAAAACTGCAGAAAACTGGATCTCCAGGTTCGTTAATCAAGGATGGAGGTAAGGGTGAGGATGAATGAGGGATTTTTGACGTCCAGCAGTTCTCTCACACGCCTCCCCACGCATCGTCCCAGTAATTTTAAATTCGGTTCCATTCGACCAGGCGCGTGGGGAGGCGTGTGAGAGGCGGAGAGACCATTACAGGATTAAGCGATCTTCCTTTCATGCAGGGTCCGCCATATTTGAGCTTTGGACCAGTTGATACTCGATTCTTCTATTCTGGATGGCCCCCATGTTGTCTTTTACCGTACACCTTTTACCAGGGTCACAGAATATAGTTTTCACTGACAGGTTTACTTTGTAGGGTCTATTATTAGTATTATTTTAATAGCAATGTATATTTTGCAGTTTGTTCACATTGTTTGACTAAAATATTTTATTGTTAAAGCATTCTTTAAATTTTAATAAAACTTAATAGTTCTGGGGTTAAAAACAAATATTTTAATTCGAAACCAAACAAGAAGTCTCATGAGCGGCAAAGATTTGTTATCAATTATTCAGTTCGGGACGAACGAATTTAGAAAAGGACGCGGTGATATAGGCCCGTAAGGGCCCTATGGTGTAAGCAGACATGGGTATTGAGGTAAGTATTTTGAAAACGTATTCACAAAAGTCTTTCTACTTAGTGTTTTTCATCTCTAATTTTTGCACCCTACCCATTTTGTAAGACTCTTTTGTTTAGAATTCTGAGCAGAAAACTGGATGGAAAAAGTGATCACGTTGTACCCTGTGATGGGCATGGGATTTGTAACACAGTTACAGCAACACTATCTGCATGAACAAAAAAACCGGTAAAACAAAAATGTAAAACTAAATGAAACAAGAACTTTAAAAAATGGCTAAACGGTTACTAGCATTCAATATTCAAAAGTTATCCACAGTATTTTTGAAATAAAGCTCTAAACCAAAACAAGGAGGCCCGTAATCCAAGTAAAATAATATGCGACATCGTGTACATGTATGTGTGATAGACTGATAGTGTATGGCATGATATGTGTTGCAATATTCAATAAATGTATATTTTATTCAATTGTAAGTTTTGTTATTCAATGTTCCAAAATTTTATGCAATATTCTCTTTTTCATTCAATGTTCCATTTTTTATGCAGTAATTTTTCTTTATTCAATGTTGTTTCCTTTTTTTTTTTTTTTTTTTTTTTTTTGTAAATAGATATGTTTTTCTTTTATACTGTATTCTTATGGAGTTTCGACAGAGTGCAGATTTTCATGGCGCCTTTTATGCGTTACGACGTGACGTTGACATATGACGTGTATATTGTGTATTGTCTACGTTGCCATGGACAGTGGCAACCGCATCCTCACTACCATCAAAGCGATGTCACATTGCGACTGATGAACCGCAGAAATTTTTCAAAAGAAAAAAGGTAGGGAAAGTAATAAAAAAAGTTGTATGGTTTAGTGTGTAATATAGGGTGCAATCTGTATTGGTTGGCTATCGTTCCCGCCTTTCATTTATTTTCAGCCTTTCCTTGACTGCACAATCCCAAGTCCCCAAACGTAAGTGGGAATACATGTACAAAAATACAAAGCATATATATTTAGAATGCATTTAATTGTTTTGTACATTGTCTGTAAAATGAAGTTGCGTGTTGAAAAAATGTAAGAAACAATTAGATGTCATCGATTAATAGAAACATAAATTCAAAATCATACAAACGCAGTGGTATTTTATCTCTTCACACTGATCACCCGTTCACTTATTTTCTTTTCATTGTCTTTCGAAGAATCTCCCTTTATGCATGCTTTGTCGTCCAAATATACAATATTACCTCATACAAGTAATCTCTTCAAATGCTAGTTCACATCTAACAAAACTAAATTGGTATAGAATTGCAGTCTCTATAACGTCGTATTTGGAAAGTTTATGAAGTCCAGTTTACATGTACAGATTTTATCCTCGTCATCAAAAATTACATTTCGGTTGTGAAATTAACCAAACAACTAACACCTTGTGTGACTTTGACATTTACCGCTCTTCCCTGCTACGAAAATAAATTTCCCAATAACTTCAAAAACATGACCCATTTATTTAGCTTTTCCCTATACTTTTAATGTTCATTGACTAATGCGACTTCAGATAAAGTATGGGTATTTTGCTGATGACGTCATACCAGCGGTTTTTGGGGTGAGAATGTTATTCTCGATTTATTGATTGATTTATTTCCCGGGCTCTTATAGAAAAAATTCAGTGGATAGTAGGAGCCGCGCATGAGTATTACTAAGGGTAGCCACCGACTTTTTGAAACTCTCTCCGTTTAGATTCTATCACTTGTTACATTCGTTCACACCAATTTTCACTGGACCTTTCTAAATACAATGTAAATCACATCGGTTCAAAAGTTGCTATCAACAAATTGCACCCGATTGGTCTTCATACCTTTGTCAATAACTACACCATTTTTGGTGATTTTATCTGAAGCGGTTACGTTGTTATTCCCCGCACCGATTGCTATCTACACGCAATTAATATTATGTGCTTCCTGGTTCTTCCGCAGGCAGG